CGTTATGAAGTGTTGCCGCATAATATATTCGCTATAGCTAGCTACCTAGCTAATTTAGGTGGACTTCTGTTCCGAAAGGAAGCTGAAGAACTAGAGATTTTGGCGTCGCGTTTGAATTCCACTTCAGGGTGAATGGGTCTCAATGGCAGTACCTTCGGACGGATCGTATGGCATTCCCAAAGGACTGGTGTTCTCGTTTCCAGTCACAGTTGATGGTGCTACAAAAGAGTGGAAAATCGTCCAAGGGCTCTCGCTCGATGAGTTTGCGCAGAGCAAGATTGCTATCACTCTTAAGGTTGTACGTAACGCCTTTTTACTTCATTGATGACAAAAATGATTTTGTTCAGGAACTCGAAGAAGAGCGCGATGTTGCGCTGAGGGCTTGTGAGGCTGCCAGCTGAGCGTGCGTCCACAGCAGCGAGGGCACGAACCGTTCCTGGGTTCAAGTTATACTGTGAGATAAAATTGTCGTTGTAGATTGTTCCATATCTTTTCTTCTTTAGTACGTGCGACGAAATTAGTTGATAAAGTTCGCGTATTTTAAGTTTTGAATAAAGATTGCAGAAAGTTTTACTTACTTACTTGGATACTTGGACGCTCGTTTTCAGCCGGTTCTCTTCAGCGACGAGCACACGCTTCCCTCCATTGTTTGCGATCTTGAGCGGTTTGGACCCAGTGTTGGTCTGCAGCTTCTTGGAGTTGCTTCAAGGAGTCTCTCCAACGGGTTGCAGGGCGGCCAGCCTTGCGCTTCGCGTCTCTCGGATACCAGAGTGTGATGCGAGTGGTCCACCGATCGTCCGTACGTCTGACCACATGTCCGGCCCATCTCTTCTTTGCATTCCACGCGTATACTACGGCATCGTGGATGCCTGACATTGAGCGCATGTCTGTACTGCGCAGATTGCGACATCTCTGCTCACGGCGGTTGATATTCAGCAGGGTCAGGGAAGTTTTATAGAATTGAATTATCCATGAGCCTCACGCGATATAATGTATTCTTCAACAAAATCCAGTGAGTACTCGACAACAAGTTTCATTGGTAAGCTTTCGCTGTGTTAACAGCTTCTTCAGACCTCGAGTAAAATGCTCTATGAAGCGCTACATAGTGTAGAAAACAGTGTAGCAATTGACCTCATTTCTTTCTCTTAGCTCACTTGCTCTACAATAATTCCTACCGTTTTGAACGTCCAGTATTATTAGGTTGTCCGGAAAGTTCTCAGCGTTTTGGGTGTTTCACTTTAAACGATCGTAACTTTTTTAATACTCATCGGATTTAATCGAAATAGGCACCATTCGAATCAGCACACTTTTGCCAATGTGACAGCAGTCGAGAAATCCCATCAAAGTAAAAAACTGGGTGGTCGAAAATTCACGAAATCCACGAAGGCTTTTTTGCCTGGTCCTGATTGATGAAGTATTTTCCAGCAAGGGTTCTGAAAATGTTAGAAAAGGTGATAGTCGGTTGGCGAAAGGTCTGAAGAATATGGCGGTTGAGGTAGAACTTCAACCCCCAATTCGTTCAATTTATGGATAGTGATTTGTGAAACGTGTGGGCGTTGTCATGCAAAAGAATCGGACCCTTTCTTTTGATAAGTGTTGGCTGCAGCTGACAAAATTTTCGGTACATTTCGTCGATTTCTTCACAGTAGGGTTCTGCTGTGATGGTTTGGCCTGGTGATAAAAAGTTATAGTGGATCACACCAGCCGATGACCACCAAGCCGTGACCAGAATCTTTTTTTCGTGAGGGTTCGGCTTTGAAAATTACCTCGGTGGTTCGTCGAAATCCAACCACTGTCCGGAACGTCTCCTGTTCATCATACATGACCCAATACGTATTTACTGCTTTTCGCCGAACCATCCAGTTCCTCAGGTTCGTAGACTGTGAACATTGTCTAAGCAGCGTCCCAACAGCAGTATGACAGTTGACAATCGCGCCATCCGACACAGGGTACAGCATGGGGATGTGCGAAATGTCGGTGTGAGTACGACCCCCTCCTCCACCTCCACGGCTTTTTCGCCGACGACGAGCGATGAGTATATAGTCGGCGAAAAAGTTGTCGAGCGGGGGGTATACAATAACTATGCAACGTATATCCCACGGGCGTACAAAATGCATATAGTGCATATAAAAAATTATACGACCCCCCCCCCCCTCCACCTCCACGGCTTTTTCGCCGACGACGAGCGATGAGTATATAGTCGGCGAAAAAGTTGTCGAGCGGGGGGTATACAATAACTATGCAACGTATATCCCACGGGCGTACACAAATGCATATAGTGCATATAAAAAATTACTACGACCCCCCCCCTTCGAATGGGGTCCAGGCACGACCCCCCCACCTCCACGGCTTTTTCGCCGACGACGAGCGATGAGTATATAGTCGGCGAAAAAGTTGTCGAGCGGGGGGGAGGGTATACAGAATGCATA